AACGTCATTTCTGTTGCTTCAAGTCTCCTTTGTACCAGTGTGGAAATTGTCCTACATTCAATGAATATGTAGGAATACTCATGTTACATAGCAATTCCGTACTTATTCATTTTTTTCTAAATAAAATCTCCTTTTTGTCTAATAATTTGTCCAGTTTTTCCGTGTCACATTCCCGGTCGTCTGTTAAATCATTTCACAAATATTTAAATTTCTCTACTTGCTTGATTTGTGTCGCGAACTCGTCGTTTGCTTCTTAGACATAAATTTCTTGCTAATAGACGTAAATCGTGCCTTTTTTCAATTGATAGTTAGTCCTTTGTTCTCTCTTTCGTCAATTACCTCATCTTACAATTCCTGTAATTTTCATTCCGTGACTGCTATCAACACGTTGTCATCTGCATATTTTAGATTGTTAAGAAAATTCCCACTTATAATAATTCCGAGTAAGACTTTTAGATCTCTTAAGATTGATACTGTAAAAAAGATTAAATAAATCCGATGGGAAGAAGCAGGTTCTCTTAAGTCCCTTTTCTTTTTTTCTTTTTTTGTACTCGCTCAATTTATTTTCTATCCGTATGCAAGCTGTTTGCTCCCAGTATATATTCTGGATTATTCATTTTCAAACATTAAAAAACATTTTATTAATTTCATTATATAAATTAAAAAAAAATCGATTTTATGAAATCAGTATTTCTGAAGATATTTTTCTCTTTCGATCCCAGCACCTACCCGACCCATCCCCGCAAAAAAAAAAAAAAGAAATGGAAAAAAAATTACGAGCAATTTTTTTTTTTTTTAGTTTTATTACTGTTTTTTTATTCCGATTCCTGTCATATTTTATTCATCTTGTGATGTTTCGGATAAAATTTCTATTGATTTGAATTCCCTGAGGACGTACTTGAGATTTTATTAAATCAAGTACAGGTAGTGGTATGCTCGGTTTAAAATTCAATTTCTTAATTCCATTTATAAATAAATAAGAACCAAAAATAGTTCTACCATTTTCCTTTATACGTGAAATGTGTGTCAGATTAACGCCCTTTAAAAGTACAAAAAAATCAGATTCTACACATGACACAAATTATATGAAATCAGATTAAAGTTAAAACTTATCTTATATATATATATATGTGTGTGTGTGTGCGTGTGTGTATCCAAGCAACCCTTTCGCTACCATTGTCCGATTTCAGTAACTCATAGCTCATTCAAAAGCTCTAGAAAAGTTAGGCGCAGGGAACGATTTTCGTTGAGCTCAGATTCAGGGTTGCCAGATTATGCGAGGTTAAAAATATATATTAATATATTATACTAGCGACTATAGCTACTTTTATGGTTCAAGGCGAGTAACTCTTATTCTCCTTTTGTATCCCAAATCGCAGTGCAGGTTTTATTATAAACTAGCTTAAAAGCCGCCCTATCAGCCAACATTTAAGCTAGCTCGTGTAGAGGACTCTTAGTTTGGCCATCATCACAATAGCTAGGGAGGAGTAGATGCGATAGGCATCAATAAAATACTACGCTGCTTTTAAGTAATGAATTGATGTTTATGCTTACCTTTTAAAAGTTAAACATTAATTCTTCTGCCTCCACTTAAAAACGATTTGCTCAGTTATTTGTCGCCTGTTCCCACCAAGTCAAAGTAATTTACACGTTGCATTTACTCTCCCCCCACCCCACTAGGACGAGATGTGACACAAGGTCTATTTTTAGGTGGGGACCTGAGTGAGCCCTGGAGAGAAACAAAAACTGCCCTAACCCCCCGCAACCGTCAAGTGTGAGCGCCGATCCTTCCCTCTGATGCGATGGGAGGGCGCGGCCTCGGGCAGCTGTTCCCCAGGGCTGGGCACCTCTTCAGTATAATTTTCCTCAGTTGCCCCTCTGTCCTTTGACAGAGAAGTCCGTGAGCGCACTCTGCCCAAAGACAGAGAGATGATAAGCCTGCGTTAGAAATCCCTCCAAAGAGGAATATTTACGCGATATTAACTCCCTACCTCCACTTGGATGAGATATGACACCGGGTCTTTTTAAATTGGGGACTCGAGCGCGTACGGCCGAGACAAAGACAAAAATTGTCCTCAGCCCCCGCAACCGTCGGTTGCACTGGCATCGGTGCGAGCACTGACTCCTCTCTCTGGTGCAATGGAAGGGCGTGGCCTAAAATTATATACAATTCCTCATGCCTGTAAAAAGTCTGCATGGAAACATATGTTCTTATTGTTTGAAACAAACGTTTATTTACACTGATTATATTTGTACTATTGTCCTTATCTCTGTTATTTTTTATCACAACGTTTCGACATTTGTGCCCTCCGGTCTTCATCAGGTGCATATCGATCTGAATAAATTATATTCTGAACACTTTATTTAATCTGCAGGGGTAGACTGTTCTCGTTCCACTACCCATATCTAGGGATATCATCTTATTTTCAGTACTGCTCAGTTGATGGTCACCTGTTTCCACTCAGTCCAAATACACACTACCCGGCGTAGGGATTGAACCCACAATTACTATGTCACCATATTCACAGACCAATACTTTTATCCAATAAGCTATTGTCCCATTCGCTTTATTGAATATTCGCTGCCAGTACTGCTGAAGAATTGGTGCCGTTTGTCTTTCGAAACTCTAAGTTCCCTAAAGCAAACTGCCCTACAGGACAATGGCCTAGTGGATTAAATCATTGGTTTGTGGATTTAAAAACTAGACAATATCCCTAGAAATGGGCAGTGGAACAAGGACAATCGTAGAATAAAAAAGTGTTCAGTTCAGAATTCCCTGTGGGATATCCAGATCAATATACACCTGGGGAAGGCCGGGGTGTACAATACCAAAGACGAGGACAATAGTCCGGATATAAATAGTGTAAATAATGATAAATCCCCACCCTAGAAATTCAGATAGAAATCCTTTGTTTGTAAACCAGAATAAGGTAAAGACATTCGAAAGGAAAGATTCCTTGCATTGAAACAAATTTATTGTGATTTGTCCTTACGATAAATGTCCATGCAATGCTATTATACAGAATATTCTTTGAAAGCGGGATAACAAGATTTTTGCGTTTAGGATGAATATTCGAGCGAATGTCCTCTGAAAGGGAAACAGAATGAAAACGGCAGCCATTGTTACAGGATGTGGAGTCCGCAGTGAATTGAGACAAGACGTTTTCGTGCAGCGGTAAAGAGAGAGAGAGAGAGAGAGAGAGAGAGAGAGAGAGAGAGAGAGAGAGAGAGAGAGAGAGAGAGAGAGAGAGAGAGAGAGAGAGAGAGAGAGAGAGAGAGAGAGAGAGAGAGAGAGAGAGAGAGAGAGAGAGAGAGAGAGAGAGAGAGAGAGAGAGAGAGAGAGAGAGAGAGAGAGAGAGAGAGAGAGAGAGAGAGAGAGAGAGAGAGAGAGAGAGAGAGAGAGAGAGAGAGAGAGAGAGAGAGAGAGAGAGAGAGAGAGAGAGAGAGAGAGAGAGAGAGAGAGAGAGAGAGAGAGAGAGAGAGAGAGAGAGAGAGAGAGAGAGAGAGAGAGAGAGAGAGAGAGAGAGAGAGAGAGAGAGAGAGAGAGAGAGAGATGTGCAATGTCTGAGGAGTATGGAGGCTGGTTAAAGAAGATCAATGTTTCCCTTCTACTGCGCTAAAAGTAGCTAATCCTAATCTCTCTGCTAAGGGCACTTAATTGATTTTGATACAAGTTTCATAGCAGAATTGTGGCCCATCATTTGTTTCTTTCGGATGATACAAAGTTTATTAGAATAGAATCTTCGGGCATTTTTATGATAATTTCAATTTTTGATTCGAAAATTTGAAATATAATTTAAAAAAACCCAGAACCCCTTGAAGAACGTGCATTACCAAGAAACTTCGAAGTCGAGAAAACAGCAAGAAAAAAATTGATATTAATGTTAAGTAATCTTTTTATATAATATTATTAATGCTCTATTTATAATATTACTCTAATATCTTTAATATTGAGTACAATATATAAAAATATGTGCTATTTCTTAAAACTTAATATATATATATATATATATATATATATATATATATATATGAATTCGGCTCAAGTATCGATTAGAATCCAACAGAATGACAGGATAACGTCTATGAATTCAACACGATGCGTTTTTATTTAAGCTTAATCGTAGAATGAAATATTGAAGGGATAAGAAAATTCTAGTATTTTTATCTTTGTGTTGCATGCTTTTTATTATTTAAACAGACCTCGCGTGCATCTGTCCTGTCAAGCAGTTTTCATGTTTATAATTCATGTGTGTATCTGTATCATAACTCCATTTATTCCTTATCCTATCATATATTTTATACATACACACACACACACACACACACACACACACACATATATATATATATATATATATATATATATATGTGTGTGTGTGTGTGTTGCTTTCGTCTGCGTGATGCTGTCTTAATTAAAGTGAATCTATCCCAAAGAAATGATATAATAATCAATTTTAATGAAAAATAAAGAAAAAAAATATTTTCACTTTACCCGATGCACAAATGGATTTTTTTTTTTTTTTGTTATTTCATTTCTGGTTTTCATGGCCATCATTTTGATATGTGATTTCCACATGATACCTTTTTCAAAGGTAACAGACAGCAACTGTCAGTTAGAAAACACCTTACTATTGTGATTAGCTTAATTTTATGTAAATTAATAACAACAAAAATAACAATAAGAACTGGATATAGCGATCTTGTGACAAAGACAGAGGAGTTAGTTACAGCCTTGCCTGCTTGCTGATAGAAACTTTTCAGAAGTTAGCATTTCGGGGTCTTGGGGCAAAGTTCAAAGGTGAGTGCATATCACGCGAAAAACTCACGAAATCACAAAGTGTCAATATTTTGGTTATAATATTATCTCTACGTATTAAGTGTACTTTCGTGTGTGCATGTGAATATACGATACAAATCCAAAGAGAGCACTTCTAATATGTCTTAGTATTTTTTGGCAGTTTTATCTTGGTTTTTGTTTGGTTGACAGCGAGCGATATATGATCACGTATTTCAAAGGACCTTTTACAAGCGTCAAGTGGCAAAGTTCTTCCACATTAATATCTATTCCGTTATTTTAAAATCCATTTACGCAAATTTACATTCATCTGAAATAGGGAGAGAGTGAGCATCTCACATCTATCTATCTATCTATCTATCTATCTATCTATCTATCTATCTATCTATCTATCGTCAGTCTGTTCATATCTATCTATCTATCTATCTATCTTAGTCTTCTCAATATCAATCTATCTATCTATCTATCTATCTATCTATCTGTTGAAACTTGACTAATGCATGGAATAATAATGCAACACAAAATGTACTTAGAACAAAATGTATTGAAACAAGAAAGTGTACACAATATTTACATATAGTCTTTTGTATATTCCTGGTAAGACCGTTCCTGGAGAATGTGTTGACTGAGTCGCAGTCGGACAGAGTCTCTGGTTGAATCTCTTGATTCCTCCCTCTCTTCCCGGTACCAACCCATATTTATATGGTCGGTACTCCACTATGCAAATTAGGTGGATCCTACCACAACACTATCTCAGTCTTCTCAATATCTATCTATCTATCTATCTATCTATATCTATCTATCTTATTCCTTTCACTATCTATCTTATTCATTTCACTATCTATCTATCTATCTATCTATCTATCTATCTATCTATCTATCAGCCTGTTCATATCTATCTATCTATCTATCTATCTATCTATCTATCTATCTATCTATCTATATATATATATGTGTGTGTGTGTGTGTGTGTGTGTGTGTGTGTGTGTGTGTGTGTATGAAGGTGTTGAGACAACGTTGAAAATTTATTAACGACACGTTTCGCCAGAGTCTTGTCTCTTTGGTTTACTCAGATTAGAATGAAAGAACGACAAAACTGTGTGTGAGGGGAAATGTCTTAGGATCTCTGAGGATAAGCAGTAACCATAAATTAAATTAAATTAGATTACTTTATCTCCTACAATGCCCAGAATCAAGAGAGTGCCTGCTCGCCTGTTTGTTTTATCTATATCAGAGGCGTTTGTTTTGCTTAGATTTTAAATTAAACAATCAAAACTAGAGAGTAAGTTCCTTTCATATTCTTTGATAAGCTTAATAACATTATCATTGAAAGACGAAAGGAAATCACCACATTGATACATGTTTAAATCCAATCTAAGCTTTCGGCTGACATAAGCTATTATCAAAGATGACAATTACATTTCAATATATCAACCAATACACGGACGAAACAATAATGATGGTATGTTTTTGTTGCATGAAAAAATTCAAAGCAACGGCAAACTCGTGTATACGAGACGTGGAAGCGAAAATCGCGTCGCAGCTCGTGACGTCACACAGGACCACGCGAGAGAAAAAACGAGAAGTATTAAGTATGGGAAGCCGTTGGTATGAACCAATGCCTTCTGTTATCAATTATAGGCATTTAAGAATATTTGTGGAGATTTCGTAGTTTATTTTGTTCGGGTTAGGTTTCAACTCTTTTATGTATATAGCTTCAAGAATTTTCAGTTTTTGTTTATTACTATATTATTTTTTTTTTATATTATATATATATATATATATATATATATATATATATATATATATATATATATATATATAGAGAGAGAGAGAGAGAGAGAGAGAGAGAGAGGGGCAGAGAGAGACAGAGAGAGAGGAGGAGAGGGAGGAAGCGTACGGTGGAGTAATGGCTAGCGGCTTGGATTGAGGAATCGGAGAGCCGAGTTCGAATTCAAGTCGAATCCATTACATTCACTTACGTGCTAATACCCTTGGGAAAGGTGTGAATCCTCTTCTTCTCCCTCCAGATATGGCTAAATATCAGACTGTGTTCTATAGCCTTGGATAGCAACTGCTCTAGGAGAAGGGCAACTCTGAATTGAAAACCTGCGGAGAGTCGTTTGAGGACCTTGTGGCACGTAGTGCACCAGGTCTCTGTATTCGGCCCTTCAAAAAGTGTGGATGGTCCTGCACGAAAAATTCACCACTATAATCAAATCTTATGTGCTGGTGTCGGGCTGTTGGTTCCTACGAACTGATCTGCTCGACCCTGATACGTCGAATTCGACGAGAGTGTGGATTATATATATAAAATAGATTAAATAATTAATTAATAAAATAATGACAGACGAAAGGGCACCAATATAATTAGTATATATTTTAATATATATATATATATATATATCGAAAGGGAATACTTTTAATTACCGAACACGGTCAGCATGTTATAGCAGTGTTCATAATTGATATTACTGTGGGTTCGTTTCTTCTTTTTTTATTGTTAACACTTTCAATCAATTTACAGTAAAGAAATTCCCTGCACGAATGCAAGAAAAATGTAATAAAAAGCTTAATCACAATGCCTTCTTAGTAGTCTTTAAGGAAACGTAAAAAGAGGCATTGCCGCCCAAATAAACAATTACCCCAGAGGAGTGGACGGAGTGTTGACTTCAATGTTCACTTTTTTATATATATATATATATATATATATATATATATATATATATATATATATATATGTGTGTGTGTGTGTGTGTGTGTGTGTGTGTGTGTGTATATATATATATATATATATATATATATATAGTTAGACCTAGAGAGCCAGACAACCTACCAAGGTTTCACCTGAGCGGATCGTCAAGGAAGCCAGCCTTCCCTTACGATCCGTTAGGTGAAACCTTGGTAGGTTCGTCTGGCTCTTTAGGTTTAACTAGGTCTGCTCTACTTACCGTATTGAGCACTTTATTTAGTTATTTTGCTTACTCGTATCGGGGTTTTTTTCTTTGGACTTTGGACTTGCATGCTAGACGATTATTTTCGGCTAACGTACATGTTCTTGGTTCCTTCTTTTTTATATACATTTTTTTCCTTTGGTATTGGTTTGATTATTTGCAAATCAAGACACCGAAGGTTTTCCGAACGAGTATATTTTCTTAAACTTATAAGATTTCTATTCATATATATATATATATATATAATAAGTAAATCAAAAATGTTCAAATACTTACTACTACCGACTTCAAATTTTCCCGAATACGCCGCTCATCATGGTCAGATAGGACTATTGCGTTATTAATATATTTCACATTTTTACGCTAGTTTAATAAACGCTACTTAGTGTCAGAAACTTCTGTGTGGATACGTCCCTAAACACCACAGTGTTAACCTCTTTAGGGTCAGTAGTTGTCTATCCGTCATACCTTTGAAATCTTCATTTTTTTAGTTCTCCCTCTTATATCAGAAACTCTCTAGCTTGAGTGTCTCTTGGGCGTTTTATAGGGTGAATTTTAGTAAATAAAAAATTAAATAACATTACGAACTGTCATCATACACGCTAAATAAATTTTGTAATTTTAAATTTAATTTAAATTTAATTTAATTATTTAATTACTTTAATTTATTTAATTTAATTTAATTAAATTAAATTTATTTTAAATTTAATTTAAATTTATGATACTAGAAGGTCGTACCTCATACCAACTTTTGTTTCAAGTCTACGGTTCACATTTATCTTTCATGCATAACCCTATGCACTTGCATTTTTTAAAAAATTTTCTTACGCTCATAAAGCAACTTAGAGTAACCCTCTATTTTTCGTTGTTCTTACGCCTTGGACTTGATAATCATTAGTATATATATATATATATATATATATATATATATATATTTATAAAACTTGCCAAAAATCCAGCAAACAAGGAAAACCGTAAATTAATTGATATTTATAATGCTGCCCTCTTTTGAGGTTTAAGATGGATGAAAATTTAAATGAACTAAATTCTGCCATCCGCTTTATAGGGAAGAGCGGAAGCTAACGAAAAAGAAAATAAAAAGCAATCTATAAATATAAAGAAACTGCTTGGAAAGTGAAAATTAAAAGATAAAATAAATCGATAATTTAAGATCAGGATTGTCCGTACCTGATTAAATGACCCGAGGAATAAAAGTAAATACGGTGAATTCCAGAAAGACCGTTCGGAAGTGTAGAATACAAAATATCGATTCAATTCTAGACGTCAAGTACAGTCTGAAACAAAGTGGCAAGTAAAATCACAACGCTTCCATCGATTTGAAAAGAGAACCAAGTTTTATAGACGAAATAAGATCTTTTGCAACGAAGTAAGAACTTTTGTAACAGAAATAAGATCTTTTGTAACGAAATAAGATCTTTTGTGTCGAAGTAAGATCTTTTGTAACAGAAATATGATCTTTTGTAACAGAAATAACATCTTTTGTAACGAAATAAGATCTTTTGTGTCGAAGATCTTTTGTAACAGAAATATGATCTTTTGTAACAGAAATAACATCTTTTGTAACGAAATAAGATCTTTTGTAACAGTAATAGGAACTTTTGTAACGAAATATTATCTTTTGCGACAGAAATGAGATCTTTTGTAACGAAATATGATCTTTTGTAACGAAATAAGATATTTGTAAACAGACATGAGATTTTTATAACGAAATAACATATTTTGTGACGAAATAAAAACTTTTGTAACAGAAATATGATCTTTTGTAACGGAATAAAAACTTTTGTAACAGAAATAAGATGTTTTGCGACGAAGTATGATCTTTTGTAACGAAATAAGATCTTTTGTAACAGAAATAACTTTGTTGTAACGAAATAAGATCTTTTGTGACGGAAATAAGATCTTTTGTGACGGGATAAGATGTTTTTGTAATGAAATATGATCTTTTGTAACGAAATAAGAACTTTTGTAACATAAATAAGATCTTTTGTAACGAAATAAGATCTTTTGTAAAGAAATAAGATCTTTTCTAACGAAATAAGATCTTTTGTAATGCGGAAGTAGAAGATCAATGTAAAGAATTCCATATCAATTGACGAATTCCAGAAATTCTTGGATCATATTTGGCATATTCCAAAAGAGCATGAACTCTTCCGTCTGTACCAGAACGACAGGTCTGACTGTAACTGACTCTTTGTCACTGCTCGTAATCAGTGCAAGTGTCTCCGCAATGAAGTGAAGTTACTGTTTGCTATTAGAATGAAACAGCGTATAGCATCTCGCAAGTTCGGTTCTAGAGATTTTTGGTGTCTCTGCGAGAGAGTGCTGAACAACAGCAAATCCTCAATCCCTTCCCTATTCTATCAATTCGAAGTCCTGACATCTACAGCAGATAAGGTGGGATGCTTTGCTCGTCAATTCTCTTCCAACTCATCACTCGTCTCATCTAGAGTACTCACACCTGATTTCCCCCTAGAACTCAGGCTATACTGAATGATATGCGGACATCATTTCTAAATTAGACTCCCATAAGGTAAGTGAATGTGACGGGATACCAGCCGTCGTCCTAAAGAAATGTGCTCCCGAGTTGGTCCCAGTTCTCTCCAAACTCTACGACTATTGCCTCGCTGCTTCCTGCTTTCCAGCTTGCTGGAATTCTTCCTCTGTAGTCCCTGTTTTTAAGAACTCTGGAGAACCATCTGACCTCTCCAACTATCGCTCTATTTGTCCCCTACCGCCTTTCGACATAGTATTAGAGGATTTATCAATGCTGAAGTGGTTAGACATTTTACCTCTCACGACCTACTCTCTGATAAACAATACAGATTCTGTTTTATTCGCTCATATAGCCCTCACTGAAATATATATATATATATATATATATATATATATATATATATATATATATATATATATATATTACACAAATAATAACAAAATTACTATTTCGCCATATAACAAACCTACCAGCATAAATTCATGTAC